TGGCAAAAGTCATCATTCTGTGTCATTGGTAAGCATGCGTTAACCATAGCATGACAAACTCAATCCTCAATTGGAAGGGATTTCTACGCCATACCATAATAAAACAACTACGCGCTCAGATATAGTAAAAATTCACAGTCCAATCCTTGCTTAAATTTTAAGTCAATTATTTGTAGGTTACCAAGGTTTTGCGCCAACCTTGGTAATTTTCAAGCCCCATTATTTATCTTTCGGTGTATTTGTCCCCGCAACCACTGCCAGTTAGACTGTAATCTTCGTTTTCTGCTAACGGCTCTTCAAACTGCTTTCCTCAGAGCAACAAAGTTCCGCTCGGAAGCATAGTTTTATCATTGTTTAACTTGCTTTCTCACATCTATCTCTCATTGTATTGCAACGGGCTAATTCCGATTCAGTGCTCATAATGCTTCGTGATTTGGAGCATTCTTCGTTCTTTTGCTTTCTCTAGTTCTCCAAGTTAATCATCCTGTGTAAACTGCACAGAGGCCCTACACATAAAACAAGGAATGCCATGCACATTTATGAATTGTAGGACTTTTTAAGTTCCAAGAAGTTGCTTCGATTCATTTCTCTGGGTAAGGATTGCTTTACTCCGAAGAATTAGCGAACACATACAACACACGATTAGGAAGGGAGTTTCTTCTTATAAATCAGCAGAAATTTGTCACCGACAACGCGTCAGCTAAGTGTAACGTGTACCATGTCAGTAGTGATGGAACAATGGAATAATGGTTAAGTAAGGTTACAAACTCAATACTTAACAAGTCCCGTGGGATGGAAATTATTGCGAAAAGTAGACTGCATGATAAAGTGAACAGGGTTTTAGTTAACTCACCATAGACTTATGTAGTATAACGAAACATCTTCGCGTATTAAAACTATTAATCCATAAATCCATTTGTTTGGAGTTTGGTATGACACTGTTTGATTGCGTTTTCTAACCCTTGGCTAACAATGCATTAAATAAATGCAAATAAGAAAGCCCATCGTCAACTTGTTTTTTAATTGTCGCCAGATTGGAAGCAGTGACGACACAATTAGGGAGGGCGCTCCAAGGCTGGCACACGCGGCGGAAAAAGTAATTTATGCGGCACCGTCAGTTCCACAGGATGATCACGTAGTTTGGGGTTGTGGTTCCATTACAGCAGTGGAGGGCATGGTTTGTGTTCTTCAGAAACTAGCAAACCATTATGAGATCTTCCGCATAAGCAGGTATCGACTGCTGTACGTCTTTAGAGGTTGCAGTCTAAGCTGATAGGGCAGAGTGAAGAGTCCCTGGAGTTCTTGGTTGCCCTTCAGTTTGAGGAGTCTCGAGAGCAACGACATCCTGTTTTTGCCACGGCTGCCGTGCCTGGATAGCATATTCCACTTGCGGTCGCACGTAGGCGTTAAGCATTTGATGAGAGATTGAGGCTTCAAACCGACCGAACGCTCTGCGAAGTAGGCCAAAGTTTCTTTTGCCGACTGCTTGTTTTGAACACCCGAGATCTTCCTTTACCATTACACCCAAGTCACACTCCGGAGAGGCATTCTGCAAGGTGTGCTCTCAAAGTGTGTAAGCGCTCCCCAGCTGGGGACGCAGATGGAACAACTTACACTGCCATGTTCAAGTCAAGCAGGTTTTTCTTTGACCATCCATAAATGCAATGTAGGTCATGTTGGAGTAGATCGTGTTGTTCATTGTTATTAACCGCCCGCCACCTCGTGACGTCATCGGCGAAAGGCAGGAAAGTTGATGAGAACAGGAACATGAAGACACTTAAACTGTTACCCGACTGATGTTATTGCTGATTTACTGTGTACAGCAAAAAACCTCCAAGTCATTTGACCCAGAGTCCCGACACAAAGTCTATACCGCTGTAAGTTTACTAATAGTGACTCGTCAAGTCAGAAAAAGACATCCCGGATACAATAGTTGGGAAAGCGTTTTCAGCATGCAATCTAGGCTACTCACTGGACAACGTTCCTTTCACATATTACGCTCTTCATAATGACCCTGGGCTGGAACTTCTTGGCCTAAAGGAGACTAAAGTCCGACCAAGAATAAATCCGGACGCGGATCATCCTGTTGCCCTTGAATAAGCAGTGTGTGATATTCCCTTACTTTAGGCAAAATCTCAGAGATCGAACCCATCTAGATTTAACCAGAAATATTTCGTTGTCAGTTGTATCTGCGGTTTTGAAACCTATCAGCAAGGCACTAGCTCTTGATTAAAACGGTCTTCATAACTGCCTTAGTCGGTGTAAGCTTGTTAGATAGATAGTAGGAAGGATCAGTCCTAGCAATGGGATGAAACTAATTCACTCTACAGCAAAATATAATATGTTGCCAGGTTCGTAGAACTCATGTATTTTCCGGTAAGGGCAATAAACTTGGGTGATTGGGTTATGTCGTACCTCTATATCCGTCCATGAGATATAGCTTGAATGTTTGGAATAAATTCCAAGCTGGATAAATTACACGTTGAAAGCCGGACTTAATCTTTTCTTCCCCATAAGCATAGTTCACGTCCTTTCATTCAAACGGACGTAGGAAAGGCGTTCAAGCAAATCTTATTAAGCCATGAGGAAACTTTTCATTTTCAATGGTTGTCACCGCTCTGTGCTTGACGCTGAGTGGGTCGAACGAGGTTGCTTACGCTAGGTACATACAATTCCCAGTCTCAAATTCTGATGTCACAAAGCGTTTCGCACCAGGCTGGCATCGGCGCTTGTCCAATGTGACTGCTGCACGTGAATGAGACCGAAATGAACGCCCATGAAGAATTAGTCACAGTTCACTCGGTAGCCAATGGAGACGTGGAAAAACAAAACTAAACGTACGATGATAATGAGGATGCATAAAGGCAGCCCGCAGGGATGCACACATGACTGGCGGTGGAACACGCCGAACAGTCAACATGCTTTTATTGATTTCTGTGAGCAGATTACTCACGGAACTTTACTCGCAGTAAAGCAGAGATTTGAAAGCGATTTCGTTTGATTGCTCAAACCTAAATTGACAAACGTAACTCTAATTAGATCATGATTCTCTAGTCCAAAATTGGTTTCGGAAGGGGGTTAAAACTGAAATGGGCTACTGCAAATGAAGCCTATTAGATCAGCTTTATTATTAATTAATACATAAAAAAGATGGATGATTGATCGAATTGGGAGAGATCACCATTAATGTTAGAGTGAGCATAATCCGAGGTAATCGATGTTCCGAAGAGCCTACCAGAATTATGTCACGATGCTAACCAAACCAGAACAATTCACATCTTCCTGAGGCAAGTGTATGACTACTGCTGATTTTAAATAAATAAATATATATATATATATATATATAGGCAACCTTCTACGAATAGACATAGAGCCACCAGAATCTATGGGACTCCAAAGAAGGTACCGAAATAGTAGAAGAAAACACAAAGCAACATATTAGTGTCCACGGTTTCTGCAGATGGCAAGATACTACCCGGTTTCCCAAGCCGAAGTAGGGTGTTGACTTTGGGGACACCAGCCCTAGCTTTTGACCGAATAGCCTGCCCGCAAGGGAGCGGAGCGAATTCGGGGAATTGCACGCATTGGGAGCCGGTGACTGGTTGCTCAGTTCATACGCCTTTCGTTTTTCGTTTGTCAAACATTGGCCCATGCTCCCCAGAATTACAGCATAAAGTTGCTGGAATACAATGCTTCACGAGGATGAAACAAGAGGCAGTGACTTTCTTTTGTGGCGAGTCACATCCACAGTGTTGTTAAAAGGACATATGTGGCTTTTTATAGGAGAAGGTTTGCCAGGTGAAAACCCACAACATACTAGAACACTACGTCGAACCATTTGCCAAAAAAGAAAAATCCAGAAACGCTCAGCTAGCACCACGAGGAGGTTGTTCGACAAGCCAGCAGCATCGAAGCCGCGTCTTCCTAATCCGAAAACAAATAAACTATATTTCCCCTTCCTTTGTTCCATGAACCTACAATTTCTTTTGGATTTTTCCTTACTATATTATCAAAGATGTTTTGAACCTTTTTTCTCATGGTAATGTGTCCAGCTTTTTCGTTTTGACCAAGATTACCACTTCTGTGTTTGTTTCGTCTACGTATTATTCTTTATCCGGTGCGCAAAGTTATGGGCGTTAAATGGACAATTTCGTTTTGTTCCAACTGGAACAATCTGTCAGCTGCAGATTTCATACGCATTGGTGAGTTGAATCATGGCTACTCTGCCACAATGTAGTACTAGAACTATAAGGAGGAGCAGCAGCGGTCGCCGAAATAGGAAATCTACTCTCTTCTTTGCAGTCAAAAAGAAGCATAACCACACTTTTACCCATAATATTTAACCTATTCATCAAACCCGGTAACCCAACGGTAAGATTATATCATTACTTGCTCTGTGGTTTCAGGATCGACGGAGTCCAGTATCATTACACTTGGCCAAAATTCATATAATCCCAAGTAATATCTGATTACAAAATGTCATTTGTGTATTCAGACTGCCTACTTATTACCAATTATATACCCGTCTGCCAAGACCACATCAAACATTATAAGATCGATAACAACATATTTATTAGGAATAATTTTGAATGATTGATATGCACCCATTTTCCAATGTGCGACCGTTTTCCAAATGAGTTTCTATGGTACAATTGTAGGAATCTGTTAGCAAATTTTGGTCCAGGCATAGGACTACATATTAAACTAAATGTAAGGTTATGGAAGACAAATGTATATTCCAACCTGTCACGAAACGATAATCTCACCGCTAAACCTGGAGCGATTGCTGAGGTTGTCCTGCGTACTATAATATCTGTTGTCCAGCTTCGTACATATTTCCTGCCGTCGAGATCATTGATAAAACGTAGTTTCGGTCTCTACTGATCTATCCACACTATGAAAACTGTTCCCTTGAGCCAATTCACAATACATCTCCACTAGTAAGAATAAAATACCTGCTAATCACTTTGCCAAATTTAATCCGCTTCTACGATATTTACCTTTTGGGCTCTTTCCGCCTTCGCTTCAGTCTCCTGCTTTCTGCTGAGCAGTTCATTTAGTTGAGACTGCAAACGAGCCCGCTCCCGATTCGTCGATTCCAACTGCGCATGAAAATCCGCCTTCATATTCTCATTTGCTTTACGCAATTGACATAGCTCATGCATCAAGGACTGACTGTGTTTTTCTGTGTACAAAGAGAACAGTAGGGTGAGATACAACAGTCAATCATCAGTAACATGTAGAATTGTTGTCAAACAAAGTTTCTTTTTATGCCTCTTTAATAGTACAAAATATCCATTACCTGCTGTAGTTGTTATACAAGTGTCATCCTAAATCCTGGTTAGTAGACCACTACAAATAACCCACATTCTGTAACTCATTAGGTTAAGGTAAGACTTAATGCTTTAGCGTGGAAAACCTGGACAATGCTGTAGGTTATGAAGCCCTGTATCCATAGTGCTTGTCCGTTATTCCTGCATTTTAATTTGAAAAGTGTTCCGAGCACATACATAACCGTTCAGAGTAGTTTACCTAGTTTTAAATTTAAATCCTATTCAGGTCAATCCACGAACTCTTCTGTGCACTCGACGCTGAATGTTTCGAATGGAACATGGCCACTTCAACCATATTAACATGGGAAGATTATTCTCAGCAATTATCGGTAGAAGTGACAGTTTAAAAGCATGGATCTTGGTCACCTCAGTGAAGTAAGTAACTAGAGAATTTTAAAAAAATTGTTAGAAGGATGTGATTTAAGAATGATGGACGACCAGTGGTTTATTGGTGTGCAGGTAAATCCGTCTTTTACCTGCCTCTGGTCAAGGGAGTGGACACACAACAATTGAGTGAATAGCGAGCGTGCTTGACGGCGATAGAAGTGCGAATTGCTATAATAGGCGCTTTTGGACGAATGAAAGTTGGCTATTGCATACAATCACCTTGAAGAAGTGCCTCGGTATTTAATGAGATTGAATGAGCAGGTGTTTGGGCGAAGTGGTAGCATCTCTAACTGGAAAAGTGAAACAATCATTTCCTAACGGTTGCTACTTGTTCATACGTATGTGACGTAGTCACGATAAGCCATCTCACATTGAGGAAACCAGTAGCTTTACTGAAGTGAACGAGTGTCAACCGCTAATGTTCATGAAGGGTCCTGGTCACTTTGCAAGCAAGTGCTGTTAAAATACATGTAGCGCTAGGAGAGGAAATTTCTGCACAAACACGTCGTCAACGGCTGGCTAGCCGAGCAACCTCCTCGTGGAGCTAGCCTGGTGGTTCGCGTTTAATCCGATTCAGCAAACAGTCCGGCGGCAGTGTTCCAGGACGTGATGGATTTTCGCCTGACAAGCTGTTTCCCTATAAAGAGCCACAAAGGTCTGTTTAACAACACTGTGATGTGGCGCCTTTGACTCGTCACCAACTAAACTCATCCCCATTGCTTACCCGGACAACTGCTTCAAGTACAAGGACATCAAGCATGCATTTATCAGTGACGCGAAGTTCAAACACCATGAAATTGCAGGAAAATAACGACAGATACTATAAACACAGCTACACACGCCCACGTGCATACATACATGCATTCATAAATCAGGAATGTGGCAACCTTATTGTGTCATTTACATTAACTGATCAAAATTTACGGTCAAGATGATTATACATGTTCAAGCGTGCCTGACTTTGTCGCGAACAATCATTTTATTTATTTATTTATAATGTATCTCGAGTTCCTAGGGCCGAGATGGTGGTGGCACTTTCCGCACGAAGGGATTGGCAGGCCGTCAGCAGTAGGCAAATAAAAAATTAAGATATTTGCAGCTTTTATTGCTTTATTGAGCAAACTGGTATTAGTCGAGCAGCAGGTGTTGTTGGAGTTAACAGGTGAATTCTCTACAACGCAGTTACCCAAGTAAAATCATGGGGTGACGAGAAGCATCATAGCTCAAAACTGTTTTGCCACAGGCTGATGGTAATACTTAACAGCGGAATGCTTTTAGATCCTTCCTGACAACAAACACTCGTAAAAGCCTTGGCTAATTTAGTTTATGAAAAATGTAGAAAATAGTCCTTACTCAACGTGAAACGGCTTTCGCAAAGTCAAACTTACTGGTAATTTCCTGGAGCAGTTCTACCTTTGATCCTCGTTCGCCCCTGTCTCGTTGCAGAAGCCCAATGCCTGTGTGCGTTACGCAGAGACATTTAGAGTTATCCTGCCAGTCACAACTGAACCAGAATGTGCCCACATTTATATCCAGTTCATATTTTAAGTTGATCACCTGGTCATTTCAAAACACTCATCCTGTAGACCTTTTGGATCCGGATCACTGTATGTGGCGTTTTCTGTCCAGTCCCTTGACCGATTAACTCACGGTGATTTTACAGCTAGGTTTTTTGGCATCAGTTTCTTCTTACAACAAATGTCACATAGTGAGACGCATGAAACGATACCGGGTATTCGGTTTGGCTTAGTATTAAACGATGTTTTCAGGTCGACAACAGCGCGATAAATGGGCAGAGAAAATGCTCATCTTCTCTAGTACCTTACTAAGTTCATGGTATTTTGGTGTTTGAGCAAACAATAGATAAGAGTACAAAATGCACTTCGCGATATCGACCCCTCTATTGTCCGTTTGCATGCAACAGATGATACAATTGAAGCCTCTCTTTAGTACCTCTGGATTATGAATAATTACTAAGTGATACCACCTGCTGGCATCCGGAAGTCATGGGGGCAGAACCAGGCAGGAGTCTGATGAAAGGCACACCTTGAGGAGACACAGAAGTTCGAAATATCGGTGTCTGTTGCTTTTCTGGATTAGCCAAAGCCTGCCGACTAAGAGCGGACAGTGATACGTCATCTCTAATAACGACATAATTCATATTTTTAACTCTATTCGGCTTTTTCACCGTGCGAGTTGATCGGCTGATTCGTCACTCTTTTGTACACCATCATGAAATATATTATTTACTTTTTTCTTAACATTATTTTTATCAGTATCTAACTGAGTGTTCTTTGCACTAGTTCCCATTTGCACGGAAGGGCACTAGACTGCAGTTTCATCCTTTTGGGCATCATGAGTAGTGTCTATCCGGCCAACCCAACAGGTTTCCAACCCAGGACTACAAGCGATTTGTATTGTCAGCCAGCAGATTATGCCACTGATGCAAGGGGGACAGCTTCTGATAGTCATTGTTTACAAGCAAACTGCAATCATCATCATCATACACGTTAATTAGAGGTGGGAAACACCTCAGCTACTGCGCCGCAATGCATAGAAAGAAGACGGACAAAATGCAACTGGTGCAAGCCAGCTGAGCTAGCGGTAACGGATGGACATCGCTCCGATAAGCTACTAGAGGGCTAATGTGAATCAAAACAATTACTATGCAAAATTATATAAGGCCAATTAATGAGATCGTAGTTGTAGTGGGAGGCAAAGAGGGATGGGGTGGAATAAAGAAACTCACAGCACGAACGCTGCTGAGGTCGGCACCTGGCCATATCCGTAAGTGTATCCAGCCAAACGTGTTCATCGTCTTTCGGACCCCAACCAGGGAGCCGTGACGCTCCAACCTAGGCCAGCTCCCAAGTGAGGGCCTTCATTCCTCTCGACCAATTCATCGCTTGGCCACCCCCTCCTCTTTTTCCATCCACACTCCCGGTGCGCAAACAACGCACGTCGCGGGAGTCCGTGGGCTGGTATTCGTAACACGTGGCCGAGCCATCGGAGCCTGGTGCGTGAAATAACGGTGCTGAGCGGTTCAGCACCTTTTCCTGTGCCGTAAAAAAGATGTCGAACATGCTCGTTGCTCACGCGGTATTCCCACCAGATGTGAGCTAAATTACGAAGGCACCGGTGGTCGAACGTAACTAGCCTCTTTAGGTCCTCTGCTTTAAGCGGCCAGATTTCACAACCGTACAGTATGGTCAAACGTACAGCTGCATTGTACACTCCATTCTTCAGGGCAGGAGTGATGTCGCGCCGGCGCCATAAGTGGCGAAGGTTAGCAAAAGCGCCCCGAGCTTTTGCTATACGGTTCGTGATCTCAACTTCAATCCCAGGAGCGCTGATACAAGTTCCAAGGTAGTTGAATTTTTGAACAACTTCCAGCTGATCCCCACCAGCGGTCAGCGTAGGAGGCGGTCCAGACCAATCTTGGAGGAACGCGTTGCACTTCCAGGTGCGACTAACGGCACCGGCGCGTCGTATCCTCCACTATCATGTAAGTTACGAATGTTGCAGAGAACAGAGTTGGCACGAAAGACACGACGTCCACTAACAGTACCAATGTAAGATATAGCATTTAGGAACTTTTAGAGAGGATATGTTTAGATGTACTCCTCAGCAGGGGTTATTGTGTGATTAACTGTGAGTTCGTCGCACAAGCTTCTAAATCATATGGTCGTCCACACTCCCGGAAAACACTAGACTGCAGTTTCAGCTGTTACTCCCCAACGGTATTCAAAAACGTCTGGATCATCCGCTTATCCACTTATATTGCGCTATATAATCAGTGATGTCTACGTCAACCAAGCGCGACCAAACGGTGCTCATTCTCGGCTTTTGTGCTTCACTACTTACATTTTGCTGATGTGGACTTTAGTTTCGGATATTTTGCAACTGCATTCATCGATTATCCCAGAACCGTAGCGGCGCACGAGTAAGCGTCGCGGTTTCTTTGGCTCTTAAGGCATACCTTCCCCATATTTTTCCCTCATATTACTCTACAGTAACAATTCGATACACATTCCAATATCTTTAGATGAAGAAGGAGCATCTGAACCGCTAGACGCTTACCTTGACGATTCACAATTATGTTTGCTTTCACTTCAAATAATCAACAGCTTTTTACCTGTAATATACCATTGTTCATTGTTCAACAGGCTGAAACTGCAATCTAGCGATTCTCCGGTAGTATGAAGGACTGTATCCGTTGGAAGCTAATGCAACGAATTCTCAATTACGTCCAAATCCCTTACTTATGAGTATATCGTGTTATTGTTACCATTTTTTATTTATTCATATTTTAGATCCGTTCTTTCATTGTTGACTCTAAAAGGGATGTACATTTGAGGTGCGATTAGAGTTTCCTAGCTAATAATTATATCTACGCCAGGCGCAAGATCACTGACTCACTAGAGTTTAAAAATTGCTCTTGTCGAAAGAGTCAAATGACAGCTTG